GTTTGGACCGATATTGGTTCGGATATTTATTTATTCGGACCGACACTATTCGGTCCGTATATGTTTGGTCCGTATACGTCATTTTTCTAGTAGTGTGAATCATTATCCTTTTAGAAAACCACATACAATAACTTTCTTAAGTAACTATTAAAGTCAAACCATCCTTTTTGTTTGCTATATATTTAGCAATCCATACCATCTTGAACTCTATATAACGCTCATGTTTATCTCTCTCTCTCTCTTTATAGATACATTTATCTCTCTTAAATAACAATAATAATACTTTATCTAATGAACTTATAATGGACGACTCTAAAATAGATATTAAAGGATGATGTTGAAACAACCAATGGTTTTGATGAGAATTCGTTACTTTGTTAGCATCAAGAAGACATATATTTATGTTGAATATGTATGTTAAAAATGTTCTCTTAAAATTGTTATTTTTAGAGCATATTCTAAATATAAAAAGAAAAATACGTCTTTTCTTATTCCGTTTTGGTCCACCCCAAAAACCGGTATATACCAATCGTATCGGCCGATACGATATAGCACAGACTTCCTTGATTGAGGGGCTGGTTTGCTTTGGTATTTAACTGTTTGTATCTTCAGGGGATTGCCGTTTGCTTTTTAGAAGTAATAGACAAGGAATGTTCACTTGGGAGCACAAACTGGGCATTTTTCACTTGTAAGGGAACTATTGTATTGGTTGTTTGAGTGTTTATTTTGGAACTAGAATTTTGGACCTACTCTGCAGGTGTGTTTGCAATATATTTTGTATTTAAAAGAAGAAAAAACATAATACAAAAATGGAAAGTGAAAAATGTATGTGCTCAGCTTTAGGTGTTTTATTTTGATTTTTTAACTTTTATATTTTCATAAATCAAAATTCCCATAATTGAGCAAGTTGTGGATGATCATCTGTTTTGGTGTTATAAGTTTTTTGCAATTCATTTGGAAAAAAATTTAATAGTGTTGCTGCTAACATGAACATATGACCCGTGATTTTGCCTCGGAGGAATGCCTTTTTTATTGACAAATTAAGTTGTATTAATGAAAATGTGTTTTTCAATATAAATATATCTAAGTATTCTTAATAAAATGTTCCCATATGTTAACATTAATGGTGCCTTGTCTTTTATTTTTGGGACGTTTAAGGGTATCTTGATGTTTATGCCTGGATTGCATTTTAAATATGTAATATGAATTAAAAAAAATGTTATATTATGTTAATTCAAAAATGAGTTAAGATTCATTTATATATAAATTTTATACACTACACTTAAATAAAATTTTCAACAATTCGTCTTTCAATAGTTTTTTTATGAAAGATGTTAGGGTATTAGACTATGATATTTGTTTGAAATTACAATTTCACAACAAAAACTCACAATTAAGTAAGAAAAGTAGTGAATTTATAAGGTATGATTAATATTTTCAAAAGTAAGAAATCATAATTATTTGAAAAAAATAAGTATGCACAATACAAAATGATGAGCCAATTTCAGTCTAATAGGAGTACTACTTATTTCAAGTAATATAATAATAAAAGTAAGTATCGCCCACTAAAATTGTAAACTAATTAAATATCAAAGTTAATTACTTTTCATTTTATTTGAACAATTAAAATTAAAACTCAATTTAAAATTTAAAAATCTATCTTATTAAACGTTAATATTTATATTTAAAAACTGATTCTATTACATTATATAATTAGTTTCTAAATGTAGATATCAATATTTAATATGGTAGATTTCTAAATTTTGAATTAAGATTTTGGTTTTTGAAATGTGGATTATGGCTCTATTTTTTTTTTTTTAAGTTAAAATCGATACACATTAACCTCTCTCTCTCTCTCTCTCTATATATATATATGATAGTATATATTAGTTTTGATTTTAAAAGAAATTAAAGTTTTTAATATTAAATTATGTCATTTTATTTAATTAAAATTTAAAAATTTATCTTATTAGATATTGATATTTATATTTGAAAACTAAATAGATTTTTGAATTTTGAATTTGAATTTCAGTTTTTAAATATAAATTAAGATTTTAATTTTTTTAGAAATCAAAATTAATATGTTATAAGCTCATATATATATATATATGTATGATTCAAACTCCAAGTTCTTATCTTTGTTTTTATTTAAGTAAAATCTATTTAAGTTACTGGTAAACTACTTTATTTTAACAAGAGTATTAATTAGTTTAAGGAATATAATAATAAAAATTAAATATCATTTCTCCAATATTATAGACTAATTAATTATCAATATTAATTAATTTTAAATTTATATAAACAATTAAAATTAA